AGAGAATATACTGTATGTAGCTCAGTGTTGAACTGTAGAATCTTTAGTGCTCTCTAAGTTAGTCAGGTAAGGAAACATCAGCAAACAAATCACCATGCTCAGAGAGCACCAAGGATTCCACAATCTCATCGTGCAAAATGCTTTAATTTGCAGTAAGTTCAAATCAAGCACATGCTATGATGTGACAACATTGATTAATTTCAAGAAGCAAAGGAAAGTTGGACGGAGTGAGTGTTTGGATGGAAGACCATACAGAAATGTTATGGCTATAACTTGCTCTGGGGAATACTACTAATAAAAAAACACACCAGAAGGCAACAAAAGGAAGCTCTTTTTATATTGTTGCCAAGAAAACTACATGGACATAGCTACAGTACAAGAGCCAGGATGAACTTAAAGGAGATTTTATCTTTATCTTACTATTAGGCCTGAAGAAAGGAATGATGGGTCCAAGAGAGCAGAGTCAACAATTGCTATAATAACTGCAGAACGTATTTGCAAGGATAATGGATTTCTTTTCTATCTTTCATCCATTTGTTGTGTAGACAGCAATGCATGAGTCATGATAGAGTTTCCTGCAAGTCTATTTTCTGAAATAGCCTTATGGTTATATCTGTCATGGGATCAAAGCACAGGCAGCCAAGAACTGATATTGCTTTCATTAATGCTAGTTCCGCCTTCCAATAAATCCACTGATGCTATTCTATCTAATTTACAAAAGTTTAAAGGGAAAGAATTGGTTCAGTGAAATTGTGAAGCTGGAGGCTTTATGGGAATGGTGTCAAGAATTACAGAGTTGGTTAAAAAATGTTTCAGGACATTCTGTTTCCTTGATCATTTCTTTAGGCACCTTTTGAGATGCTGGGCTCCTTGCTCAATGTCTCCTGCATTTTGGAGAAGATAGAAAAGGTATTTTAAGATGGTCAGAAAGATATTCCCCATTCTCTATAATTTTCTTCCTGTACAAATTAGGGCTATCAGATCTCAACTACAAAAGTCCAGATAGCCACTAAATGAAGAAAAGAATTAAAATTGTCAACAACTCTGATCATCTGGACTTTGTTTTAGTAGGTCTGATAACAATGGTTCTTGCAGCTCATCATATCTGGGAATCAGTCCTATAGGAGAATCTCACTTCTACTCTACCCCTTTAAAAGTATAAATACTTTGAAAAAGTTCTGAATGTTTCAATATCTCCGGCAATTTGTGTCATATTTTTTTAAACACTAGCTTGGAAAACAATAGTCCTGTTATACACATTTATGTTTATTATTATTAAATAATTCTTATTATTTAATTATTATTAAATAATTCTTAGGCTGGACTAGAGTAACCACTAAAACTAGAAGATAATGCATTATCTTCTCTCTATTGTTTTAGATCTGTGTTTGGGGAGAGCAAGTCAACTTTAGGCTAAATTTATACCCATTTGTATGTATGTGGTTAAATCCAATTTTGTTGACCTTTAAGGCAGATTTCTCCACGATTGCTGAGAGTTTAAAAGACACCATTATATTATTGTGGAGACTTTAGGTTGGTGTGACTGATCAGGACACCTTCTAAGATTACAGATGTAATTTATGAAAGCTTTTTATAATTTTAAAAATCCTTGCAAATAGAAATGTTGAAGAGCTGGAAATTTCTTTCCTCGTATGCTTGTTTCAGTTTGTGTAGATTTTAGTTGAAGATCATTTAAAATTTCTCAAATGTGCATTCATTTGCAGTCTGAAATAATATAGTACATTCTACTATGTCAGTTTTTCCTCACAAGATTCTTAATTTTCTGTGCTTTATATATCCAAATATATATATCCAAATCTTGATGAATGAAGGACCTTTGGCAAGGGTGTGGTACATGAAAAGTCACTATATTTATTTCATTTTTTGTTGACATTTCTGATATTACACAAGGATTCCCCCAAAAGTAATATATGAGGGGAAATGTTTACTCTCAAGTTAGACAAATATTTAAACATTTACTCTCTTTATCCTTTCCACATAAACATGAGTTTAGGGAACATTTATATATATATAGTCAGTTTGTGTTCATACAGAAAAGGCACCAAGCACTTTGAAAACCAATTGAAGTGATGATAGAGCAAAAGTAAATCTGGACCTCTTGGGGACTTGTTGTAGAGCAGGGGTCCTCAACCTTGGCAACTTTAAGACTTGTGGATCAACTCCCAGAATTCTGGGAATTGAAGTCCACAAGTCTTAAAGTTGCCAAGGTTGAGGACCCCTGTTGTAGAGTATCAAGAGTTTCTGATTTCAAACTGTTTAATAATAATGAGGCATGACCTTAATTTGTAATTGGATTTAACATTTTCAATACAGATAGTCCTCAACTTACAACCACAATTTTGAGCCCAAAATTTAATGTTGCTAAGTGAGACATTTGTTAAGTGAGTTTTGACCCATTTTATGACCTTTCTTGCCATGATTGTGAAGTGAATTACTGCAGTTGTTAAGTTAGTAACGTGGTTGTTAAGTGAATCTGGCTTCCTCACTGATTTTGCTTGTCATAAGGTTGCAAAAGGTGATCCTGGGACACTGCAACCGTCATAAATATGAGTCAGTTGCCAAGCATCTGAATTTTGATCACATGACCACGGGGATGCCGCAATCGTTGTAAGTGTGAAAATGGTCATGTCACCTTTTTAGTGCCGTTGAAATTTCAAACGGTTACCAAATGAACTGGATTACTTGTACATTTTCCTAAATAACGGCTGCTAAAAATGAGAATTCCAGTTCATAAGTGTGGTTAATTCTTCCTTTCTGCTCAAGGATATCCAAGAAGAGAAAGGAATTTTTAAAAGATCAACATGGCAGCTGTGACTGAAGAGTTGATGCCCCACTCCTTTCTTATGGGCATCTTGGAAATGGAACATCAATTGCACAATTACTATCACATATTGACTTTTTTGATCACATGCAGCTTGTGGACACCCCTGTTTAAGTTTAAGTTTCAATTAAAATATCCTCCAAATTGTAACTGGCCTAGAAGGAAATCTTCCACTGGTATGAAATAAATATAACCAGAAATTATTCCAGGGTTGGCAACACAATAAGTATAGGCATTACATTGGTTACAGCACTGGTAGATGGAATCTCCAAAATTAAATTTTAAAAAACGAACAAATTGGCCAAATTTTATGACAGAGCATGCCCAAGTCATCTCCAAGATCAGATGTTGGCACTTGTAAAGACTGCTGCTCCAGAATCTACATTAACTGAAGACTCCTTCTTGCTTGAGCAAACAATGGGTAGGAAGCCTGGCTGTTCTTGATCCAGCTAAGTCGTGCTGCACCTGGATGGAGGCCATCAGAACATCAATGTACTCTAAACTAGATCAGGAAGTTGAAAAACATCCCAAAGCAAGCATTGACAACAGCACTTCTGGATGTAACCTGGCCAGCCTTCTCTGTACTTAGAAGCTAAACAGAATTAATTCTGTTTATTATTTGGATAAGACACTACTAGGAAACCTTAGAACTGTGTGTTAGGCTGGGAAATTTAAAAAAATCCCAGTAAACTATTGGAAGTAGTAAACTACTACTCTATTTGTGCCAAGTACAATTTTCGTTTGCCAAGAAAATTACAGGATGATGTTCCAGAGTGAAGTGTGAGTCAAGATTTTTTTTTTGTTTATCTGATATTAGTTTCTAAATTCAATTGCAATTTGATAAGGATATGTCTATATAGCTATAAGTATGCACTTATTTGACATTATTGTATGTAAGTTTTCAAGTGACAGAAATTGCCCTGGCCACCAAATAAATAATACATTCTGACATAGTTAAAATGTCTTGATGCCTTGTTAGGGCTCACTGTCATGACAATTCAGAGTGAGTGACATTGTTAAGTTGGTTTGTTTTTAAATATTGTGTTTAAGGTATGTGACTTTGGTTTGTATAATCAGAAGCTTATGTATCCATATCAACAATATATTACTTTGTTAAATGAACATACCTGGACATATTTTTTTTGCTTTTATCTGTGTAATAACATATAGTGCCAGTAATTTTAATATTCAGACAGGAAGATTATAGCTTATAGCTCTGAACCAAAGGCTTCACCTGGTGTCTGAAATCCTATAAAAAAGACTGTTTTCATTTAAGAAATGAAGTTTCCCAACAGAGAGGTTACAAGGTTACTGTACAAAACCCTACATGTTTAGACAGCTTAATTGCAAAGAAAATAAGAATTCCTTCAAAAAGAAATATTTAGAATACTAGTACCTTTTGACCTTTAAACTTTTCTACTTTAATTAATCCCACATATTTTCTGGCATCTTATCTAGCTTTTGAAGACAGCATCACTATCCATCCTTGCATTTATCTAACTATGCACCCTGAAAGTTTTTTTTAAAAAAATAGAACTCTGGGGATTCCTCAGTTCTTTGTGACATACTAACATTCTCAGAAGAATAGTAAGTATTACCCAAGAAAATGCTCTTGGACCTCATTACAATGAATCTCTTTTCAACTCTCTGACTAAATTCAACAGTATGTCCTGCTGCAAAACCTCCCTCTCTATCTGTTCTTGCACAAGATTGGCTGGAAACAATCAGTGTTTGCCAAAGTAAAGAAAATAAAAGTAGGAATTTTACCCACTTCTTAGAATTATTTCTTTTAAATATAACTCAGAAATACTAGAGTAAATTAAGTAAATGTACATATCTACATGTCCAAACCAATTCCCAGTATTTCTTTATTCCCTTATCGAGAGACAAATGGCAATCAGTAAATGTAAACAGAAGAGGAATTTATTACAACTTGTCTCCAGAGTTGTCATAAACTTTATAAAAAAAATGATGAAAACATACTCATGACTTGACTTTTTTCTTTCTTTTTTTTTTAGAAACAGGAACAATTTCTTTGTGATTATTGTGATTATTATTAAGGGGAAATTGAGTCTGTGGATTACAAAGATGCCATACAGGAGGGAAAACAACTTATTTCTGAAATAGGGCATTCAGTAATATTTTTAAATATCCACAGTTATGAATCAAGATGGCCAGCCACTGATTGAAGGCAGGTTGAAAGAAAAGCAAATTCGATGGAAATTCATTAAACGATGGAAGACTCGCTATTTTACACTTGCTGGCAATCAACTTCTCTTTCAGAAAGGAAAATCTGTAAGTTGAAGAGGAAAAAAAATGCTTTTTAAAAACTTCCTGCACTTTCCAACTCTGAAAAATGGTGATGATTCTTTAGCATGAACTACAAATTTAAAAGATAAGAATATTCCTAAGAGAAATCCATCCATCAGTATTGTTTTATGGCTATGCATCGAATTGGCACTTAAAATTTTACACTGCTTTGTTTTCCAGAACTATTTTTTAAAAGAGTAAGGATAATCTGGGTTACCAGTCTTAGCAGTAGCTCTGCCATGAATGGTAAGGGCAAAATACTACAAGCAAAACCCAATCTTAAGCCAAGTGTACAGTGCTCATTTTTTCTAGCCAAGATAGATTTTTAAGAGTCTAGCTTGCAAGTCAATATATGATGGCTTGCATCCCACCAGTTAAAAGGTATATGTAGCATGCTGACATATATTCAGTTGGTATTACCTAATCAAAAAGATGGATTTATGAGTTTAGAATATTAAGGCCATAAAAATATGTATGTACTATTTATTATAGTTAATTTATTTATAAATTATAAAATACATAATTTTAACAGTTGCTCCTATGGTTTCTGATTCAGGTAACAAAGAGACTTCATTAATCTGCTTTTTCATGTATTATGATTCTATTGCGGTTTAAAAGTGTGGGTTCAAAAAAAAGCAGCTTGTCTTTTAAAGTTTAAGACACTCTTTGGTCTTATATTTTAGTTTTGGATCAAATGTTTTTCCTTTCAGCCTCTCCTGTTTAGTTTTTCTATACATTGAGTGACTGGGACATGTCCACTGTGGCAATCATTTTGTGAATGTGTGCACTCGGCAGCAGCCATTTTTGTAATGGCATCCAGACATTTTATTTAAAAAAAGAGTCAATAGACCTCAATGGACAGAGCTCTGCGCTATGATGCTATATGCAGAAGCTACTTCCTCTAATATATTGGTTTCTGTAGAATGAACAGTAGCTATATTCCTAAGTAGCCTCTCTCATAAAATTTACATTATCATTTTTTCTCACCTTCTGTAAAGCAGCTGCTTCAGCATGTGACAGCGCATGTTTTTAAGGGCATGGCTAGCTTTGCCCTCTATTTTGGGAACTCCATTGGCTGCATCTGGTTGCAATTTAATGTGCCTTTAGGCCCTATATGGCATAAAGTCTGGACATCTCCAATATCACTGATACTGGGTAGAATCTGCCCATCCAGTTAGATCAGTAAGGCAAAATAGAGTCTTACCACTGAAAGAATATCATCTTCATTGACCCTGATGCTGAGTCTTCTCGGTGATGGGTTCCCTATTCTGGAATAGAAATCCCAAGATAGAAGAATTGCTCCAAATTTTTAAAGAGCCTTGAAGACCTGACTTTTTTTACAGGCTTTTACAGGCCATTGGTGTGATGGAATAGGAACAGTTGACATTTCATTGGCTTATATTGCTTAACCTGATTGGTGTGTACACTATTGTAAGTTGCTGGGAGTCTTCTGAATGAATTGACATAAAAGACTAAGGAAAATAAGCTACAGCTAGAGGCTGGCAAGTGAGGAAAGAGATATCCCACTAGTAGTTTGACTTCAATCTTCTATGGCTGTATTGGGAAAAGAGGAAGAATAGGCAAGGGTCAGAGAAGCAGATAACCTGTGGTGGTGGCTGCAGAAGGACAGAAATCAGAATGGGTGACTTCTGTATATATTGTCTAAATTGGAACATAGAACATTGCAAGTTGCATTCCCTCCCTCTCTCTTCTTCTTCTTTTCTTTTATACAACCACTGGTTAAAGGAAGAGAAGTTACCAGTGTAATGAAATCTTGTCAGTAATGCTGTAGTGAAAAAGCTAATGAGACACCAGGCACAGCTAAAAGACACGGGTGATGTCTCTGTTTTCTCTGAAATTGCAGCTTTTGACCCAGCTAATGTGTTTGTGCACTAGCAAGCATGACTGACAAGGAAAGTTGCCTGGATTAGTGTTATGAACAAGAACTATTGGTAAAATAGCAGGAGCAGCCATAGAAGAGGAAGAACTAGCATGCCCATCTTACATAAAATTCATTATGTGGCGCATTAAGGCATTGGTAAATTAACACAGGATCTCAGTTCTTCCCTCTGATCGCCAATGTTTATTTGGTAGAATATGGAGCACTGATTGCACAGTGGTTAGAATGCAGTATTGCAGGCTGACTCTGCCCAGAGTCTGGAGTTTGATCCTGACTGGCTCAAGGTTGATTCAGCCTTCCATCCTTCCGAGGTCGGTAAAATGAGAACCCAGATTGTTAAGTGCTAGGCTGACTCTGTAAACTGCTTAGACGGTGCTGCAAATCACTATGAAATGGTATATAAGTCTAAGTACTATTGTTATTGCTATTGCTATTTATTTTAACAGAGTTAAATGACAATCAGACCATTACAGGTGGCTGGAATCAGAGCCAGCTAAACATGTTTCTGTGCCAGACTGACTATGAGAACAAACAGAACACTTTTTAGTTCAAGATTATCAGATGGGCTTCTTTCACATGCATTAAAAGTACTTAAAACCTAGTGGGAAAATTGGCCAAATCCTACATCTCTGGCTTCATTTAGAAGATTATTGTAACATGCACTAATACTGAAAGAGGAAAAAATCATACATATTGATATCTTAGTAAGCACTAATTCTAAAAAAAAAAATCAGTTCCCAGTGAAACAAATTAAGTATTTTAGAGATTTTTCCATACATAGTAAATTGAGCCTATACTGTAGTACCATTATTGTATTTATTCATTAGACAAAAACTGCACTTTTTATTCTAGTAACTCAAAGCTGCACAGATAGCATTTTTACTTTCAGAGATAAGCAATGACCACCTCTTGAACACTGGGCACTAACTAACAAAATGAAATTCAATGGTGAAAAAAGCAAGGTTCTACATTTAGGCAAGAAAAACCAAATGCACAAGTACAGCATAGGTGGCACCATGCTCAATAGTAGTAACTGTGAGAGGGACCTCGGAGTCCTAGTAGACAATCACCTAAATATGAGCCAGCAGTGTGCTGCAGCTGCCAAAAAGGCCAACACAGTGCTAGGCTGCATTAACAGAGGGATAGAATCAAGATCACGTGAAGTATTAATACCACTCTTCAATGCCTTGGTAAGGCCACACTTGGAATACTGCATCCAGTTTTGGTCACCACGATGTAAAAAAGATGTTGAGACTCTAGAAAGAGTACAGAGAAGAGCAACAAAGATGATTAGGGGACTGGAGGCTAAAACATATAAGGAACGGTTGCTAGAATTGGGTATGTCTAGTTTAACGAAGAGAAGGACAAGGGGGGACATGATAGCAGTATTCCAATATCTCAGGGGCTGCCATAAAGAAGAGGGAATTAAGCTATTTTCCAAAGCACCTGAAGGCAGGACAAGAAGCAACGGGTGGAAACTATCAAGGAGAGAAGCAACCTAGAACTAAGGAGAAACTTCCTGACAGTGAGAACAATTAATCAGTGGAACAGCTTGCCTCCAGAAGCAGTAAATGCTCCAACACTGGAAGTTTTTAAGAAGAGACTGGACAGCCACTTGTCCGAAATGGTGTAGGGTTTCCTGCCCGAGTAGGGGGTTGGACTAGATGACCTCCAAGATCCCTTCCAACTTTACTAATATGAATATGAATAAGTCAGCCCAGTTAAATTCCAGGGATGAAGGTTGACCTCAACTGGATATTCACAACAATCTCAGTACTATAATACATTGGTCTTTCTTTGTTCTTGCTCATGTAGAAGTTTAAATAGTATTACCAGAAACTAATGTTAACTAATGTTTAATATGAATACTGACATTCTTTATCTTTTTCACATAAACATCTTGGATTCACTTGAGAGCATAGATGTCTGTAGATAGTGAGGACAGGATGAGAGGGGGGGACAAATGATTCATTGTGTATCATGATGTCATGAGGCAAATACTAGAATGTATAGGAAGTAAGTGCACTTCGGTGGAATTTCAATCATGGCAAAACTGCACGAGTCATTATTTTAGCATAATCTTTTGCTGTGGGTATCTGGGAGCCTGAGTGGCTATTGAACTAGCTTGTTGCCTGTGTGAAGCTGGGATGAAAGCATTTAGACTGAACAAAAGAATTAACAATAACTATTTGTGCATTTTTCTGAAGAGATATAAAGCTCTGTTTCCTTCTCCATCACTCTTTCAGAAAGATGATCCAGATGATTGTCCCATTGAACTGAGTAAAGTCCAGAGTGTCAAAGTGGTAGCCAAGAAGCGCCGAGATCGCAGTCTTCCTCGGGCCTTTGAAATCTTCACGGACAATAAAATGTATGTCTTCAAAGCCCAAGATGAAAAGAATGCTGAGGAATGGCTACAGTGCATTAATGTGGCAGTGGTACAAGCTAAAGAAAGAGAAAGCAGAGAAGCAACCACATATTTGTAAGAACTATAGATTCGCTTATGTTTTCTCGAAGATCTTTTTCAGTCATATGTGGAGCATCTTGATATCTGAATTGGAAAAGATATTACGCAGGCGTTGTAATGTATTTTGCAGTGAGAAATGATACCACTGACATTTTTTTCCACAATATTCCATCTTCATGCTCTTTGGATATCACATAGACCAGTTCTGGGTGTTCATAGAGCTAAGACCATCACAACCAGAAGTGCCGGTTCAAGGGCTGGGCCTTGTTGAAGAGAAGGAGGATCCGCACATAAGTATTTAAATAATTGCAGTTATTGAAAAGCAACTTATGTCTGATTAGCAATTTGCTTTCACCTCATCTTGGCTGTGCCACACTTTTGGGGGGGGGGTCTCACACATGAATTGCAGATATAACTGCTGTTCTAATTTGTCCTGACTGCCATTTTTTGAGCATCCAAGCCTGCCATTGTATAGTACTTGCATTGTACCCCAAATCAAGGCATTTGGCTGGCCACCATTGGATGGGACAAAGTCTAAAAATATCTTCCCACTCTGATATTATAGGTGGGTTTTAGTAGGCCTTTTAAATTCAGTGGTTTAATGCTAGTCATGAATACATGAGGAACAGAGAAAAAGATATTTAATTTGTTTTAGAATTGATTATGAAAGAAATCAAAGTTGACTATTTTATACTATTATATGCTATTCATCCTGCCAGTTAGCAAAGATTATATGAATACATTCGGACCTGTGTAATTCATACATGACACTGAAGCATATGGTTTCTTGAATCTGCTCCCATAGAAATAAATCTGTGTGCTATATTCTAGTTGTCTAATTGCAAATCAACCATTTTTGCAGGGAAGCAGGAGTTGAAAAAATTGCTGCCATCAGTAATGAATATACAGCCTCATGTTCATACTTAAACATACTTTCAAATCTTATCAGCTTTGACTTTATGCATTATGAATTCAGGTCTTTGTTAGTCTGCATGATCTCAGAAATGTTATGTCTGGAGTTAGTTCCTCTAGCAGATAAGGAAACCAGTTGATAACAGTGGAAGAAAAAGCATTGATAATATAGTCTCATACACAGATGGCCTTATCTGGAGAAACTCTTCACAGTCCAGAGAAACATTTATTTCAATCAAGCAAATGTTCTGATCATATTATGTTATATAAATGCTCATTATCAATCCCCTTAAGATGTATTTATTAAAATGTATGATCTAACAAATTACATTGCTCGAACTTTTGAGATGTCCTTCTTTATCTCTATAGCTTCTTTACCATCATTTATCTAGATGGGAACATAAAACAGACTTAATCATGCCTTTGTAACTCAATGTGCTTTTTTAAAAAAAAAAGTTTTACTCCCCTTTAAAAAAAATAATTTCAAAATCAGGTGAGTGATCATGCATGCAAATGAAAATTAATATAGTATTCAGAGGTTATTGTTGATCCTTTTAACACTGCAATATTAACAATTCCAGAGCAATAGCTTTTGGAAATCAAAACTGAAATGAAATCTTTACATTTTTATCCATGAGCTGAATTCCATTAGATTTGAATGGCCTCCACTCTACTGGTGTTTTGAAGGACTCTTCACCCAGGCCAGTGGGATTGAAGTCTCTTTTTATTCAACATTTATTTTGCTGAAGATTTTCATACTCTCTGTGCTTTGACATATCTCCTCAGGAATTATAAAGACCATAGCCTATCTATTGCAGAACCTATGAATGTTTCTTTTGACACAATTCTTGTGACTAAGACCCAAACATAAAATATAAACACATCTTTAAAGTATCTCAAATTATAGACTTGGCTTCCACTTTCAAGCCAAGGTAGGATCTACCTCAGATAAATAGTATATCTTATTCCCTGTCTTTACAACATAATTGGAACAGGAAGCCATGCTAAATCATGTCACATGGTGTGTGACTTAGAACAAAACTCCTTCTGAAGTGCTCCCACATAATCTGAGATTTGGGGAGAGCTGTCAGACAACAAAAGAAATATGCTAACAATGGCAAAATGATGGACCCTAAGGTGGGGGGACAAAATATGACAAATAACCACAGCAACTCCAACAAGACCCAGGTTATCTCAGCAGCTCTGGATGCCTAGAAATAAATCTGAAATTTTCTTAGATGAAGTGAAGTCTCTTCATCATATCCTTTGGTTACAGTTGGCCTCAGTAGATAGAATTTAACATTAACTGCAATTCTAGTGACAAAAATAGTCCTTTGCCTAGCACCTTACATTTTTGAGCCATAGGAAAAAGAAAAAAAAGATATGTTAAATTATTGTTATGGTCATGATTGCTAATTTGAAATGCCCCTAAAGTCACTGTTGAGAATTTGAAAAACTTCTGAATTTTCTATTGCCATAAAAGAAAAAAACAATATACAACAGCATTGTATAGCATGGCCTGTATAATCAATCCACAAATTCGAAATACTTGAGCATTTATAATATATCACTGAGACTGTTCTATTTGCTTTTACAAAGCCTTCATTTCAGAGTAAAGCGAGTAGTAAAAGTTAACCTTGGAGGAGGGGTACAACCAGACACCCTATAATCCAGTTCCCCAATGAACAGTTTCAATTTTTAAAGACTGAGATAAAACAATAAAACATGCCAAAGTGAAATGCTGTGACCAGACAAAATTTAATTCATTGTTGATTGTCATGTCCTTCATGAAATATCTGCTAAAGTTTTCAGCTACCTGGCTAAAAAGTTGTATACGTGGTAAGGTTTAAATCAAATATTTTTGTACATAGTTCCATAAAAGAAGTGTGTGTGTGTGTGTGTGTGTGTGTGTGTGTGTGTGTGTGTCTTTGTGTTTGTTGCAATGTTTGATTGCAATGTTTACAATTATTCTAGAAAAGTAATCACTTCCAGGTTGCCAAACAAAACTATATGGACATTTAACCATTGTCAAAATGAAAACTAAGAAAAACTTTAGTTTTTATGAAAAAAATTCAGACAGAATGGATTAATATTTGAATGCTTGCCTTACTGACACAAACTGTATTTAGAGTAATTGTCCATTGCTATCTAACAGGAGTTACATAACTAGGCCAGCAAAGGCCTACTAAAACCCACCAGGAAAAACATCCCAGACAGGTTGATGATGATTGATAGATAAGAGAGATAGATAATCTTATGATGACAATCTAGACCAGGCATGTCAAACTTGCAATGTCACGTGACATCGCACGACATATCACGACTTTTTCCCCATTGCCGGCACTGGGGTGGGCATGGTTTTGATGTGACACATCCGGCCCGGGGACCGGTAATTTGTCATGCCTGATCTAGACACATCTGTGATTACAAATGCTCATTATATTTTTATCATTGCTAATATTCATTTGGAGATATGGTTGGGAGAAAATTAGACCAGGATCTGAATAGAAATAAACTATTAAAGAAGAACCTAAAGAGCCTAGAATTATAGGGTAGCTTATACTTTATTAGTGGCATTCCTTAATTTAGGGAAGTATTTTAAAATGCCCTATAACCTTAAACACAGTCTTGAGCACCCTAGACCTATATGATAGTATGGCAAAACAAAAAGAATCTAGAAAGAAAAAATAGGCTCCTGCTTTTAATGAATGTAAGGAAAGATCTACAGTACATTATTAATTCTAAGTCTGTTAAGTTTAGTTTGCATCAACAGTAAGTGGCACACTTTCTCTTAAATATATAAATGTCTTCACATCTGAAGCTACATACCACTGACCTTCTCTGATATTGTGGGTTTCCAATTCAGATTAATTCTTCTCTCTAAATGATAAGAGAGAATTATCACATAAATTGAGCACTTTAAATTCAAGTTCATCTGCATATTATAGAGTTGAGGCAGGCATGAATTCTTCCATATGAAGAAAAGGATCCTTTGTAGTAGTCTAAGAACCGAGGATTACCTCAACAGTATTGCAAGACAAGGATATCAATGCTTACATAAAGACACCATTTTATTTCCTATATGGCAATATTTTGACCTGTGTAATACAATCATTGTTTTCTTTTGCTTCACTAGAATGTGTCTGAAATCATATAGCTTAAGACATTATTTTACTTAAATTATCACCAGTCATCTTAGATCCACCCTTTCACTTTAAGGACTATTGAAACAATGTGGAATACATACTGTGAAACTGAAGACACCTCTGAGTTGGAGCCAAACATAATTGTATAAAATCAGCCTAAGTTTGGTCCCCCTGTAGATGATTATACTTTGGAATACTATAAAAGGAACCTCACTACCATCAGGCTTTCTAGTTGCCCTTCTAGAAAAACTTAAGCAAAGCAAAAGCCATCAATCAGAAAGCAGGGGAAGGAGTCAAAAATATCTATATCCCACCACTGCAGGTTTTCTTTTTCTTCAGCTGCCAAATAAACTATAGGTTTTGTTTTTCACTGTGACACTCAGAGTAATGTCTGCATTTAGCTAAAAGCTGTGGAGCTCATATGGTTGTTGTAATGCAGGATGTATTTGCTTACTTTGGTTGCTTCCATAAGTGTTTAGCCTGGAATAAAACCTTCATTCTTTTTTACCAAAGATCTGAATGATATTGCCAACCCACTGCATTCCTTTTTTTTTTTTTTTGCTCTAATGAACACAATTGTGGTTAAATTGTATGTCCGTTGTGCTATTCAGTCAAAAAGGCTTATATACTGCCAACCACTTATTTTATTCAGCAGGAGAGCATTAGAGGGCCCAGTTCACTTCTAAACATTTGCCCAAAAGGATGTTAGATGGGGTTAACCTGAATCTACTTACCACTATAATTCCTTGGCAACATGTATGGTTGCATACACGCACCCAGGTTCAGTGCTCAATTTCTTCAACCACTGGAATGTAAAGCAGATAATGGGAGACTTCTGACTAAGAGTTATTGACACTAAGCAGAACTTAAATAGATCAGACAGAGATCTGATCTGGTATAAAACAAATTCATAACATAATATTAAAATCTGAAAATACATTGCCCTATAATTACATAGAAAGTTCTGGAGATAGTACTGGTAAATGATACAAGCCCATAGTGGAGCTAATGGCATTTTTTGAAAATTGGTGGCTTCTATCAACTAAGGGCTTGCTATGGTTTTTTTCCCCCTCTCTCCTGTTATTGCTTCCAAAGAAAAGGAATTAACTTTACTACTTCTTGAATCAGAATCACTGGGGTGGAAGAGACCCATGTGTTGACTAATATCATTTAGCTAACTGGGAATCTCTCTAGGATGGGACCCTCAATCACATATTGTCCTAATTTATCAGGAAGGATGCTGTGGTCAATTTTTATCAAATGCCTTTCTGAAATCAGTTTGCTACATCTATGTTTCCTTTGTCTACTGATCTAGCTACTTTGTCAAAGAAAGCAGTAGATTTGTCTGCCATGATCTGTATTCAACAAACCATGCTAGCTTGTGGTAATCACCCAATTTCTTTACAAATGCTTGCAAACTCACTTCTTGGTTATTTTTCTAGGATTTTCCCAGGTATTAATGCCTATCTGATAGATCTCCTCATTTTAAAATATTAAAACAATGTTGACTCTCTTTGGCATTCTGCTGTACTCCAGGATTTCTTAAACCTTTCAACCACTGGCTCTAAGAAGACATTCACCATTTCTTTTAAAATCCTGGAATGTTACCATTTGGCCCAGAAGATTAAATCCTTTCAGACAACCAAGGTTTCTTTTACCAATTCCTTACTATTTTGATCTGCATTTTTTTCTGTTCCTCACAGTTTTGCTTCTGATCTGTCCAAATACTTTTTCTTTTTGAGAAACAGCAGCTGCAAGATAGAAATTAAGTAGTTCGTCTTTACAATCTTTCCATATTTTCCAACTAATGGACCAACCATTTCCTTGACTTTCCTCTAGTTCCAGACATATCCAAACAACCCTTTTGTCCTTATTGTTTGCATTCCTAGAAGCCTTTGTTCATCTGAGCTTTAGCCTTCTTAATCTTCCTGCTGTATCCTGCTGTATTATTGAGTACTTCTTTCTTCCTGCTTTGGTGGTGAATATAGTAATATAGTGTGGATGATGTAGTGGACGTTGCTTTGGTGTAGCAACAACCAATGTCTCACAAAAGAAACTGCCTAAGAACATTTCTTAGACAAGCACAAACACACTACAGCAACCATGGACAGCAGAAAAAAGAAACAGGGCATCTATACAACATCTTCCAACAAAATGGATATCCACGCAATTTTATCAAAAAGTGTCTGGCCACTCAACCCAATACAGCACAACCAGCACAAACCCTAAAAAAGAGTAACACTGCCATACATTAAGAACATCTCAGAAATCAAC